AACTCCGTAATTCTTTGCTCGTTCATAGAAAGAGTCCAAAAAGTACTGAGAGAGATGAAGAGTCTGGTATTCACCCTCTAGATCCACAATGTTTTCGGCTTCTGTTGCACGGACTGATTTACATTGGACAATAGCACAGTCCTCGTTGTTATAGCGACCCTGCATTTTTAATTAGTGACGGGAGCACTCGAAGAATGTGGAACTCACACGGAAGACAAATTTCGTCAATCCCTGCCCAAGATAACCCTGATAAGGCTTCCCAGCTTTAACATGAGCTTGCCACCCTTTTGCAATCATAATCTCTTCCTGCTCTTCGCTGTAGTTCATCTGTATATCTGCAGTCTTGCTCACAGTGCATGTTGCCCGCTTCATCTTAAAGGTTTCATATTCAAGTATTGGTGCAGTTGCGGACTGTCTGGATCGGTATGAACTCTGATAGCGCTTGGGAGGTGGCAGACGTTCAGGTGATGCTGTTCAGATTTATAAGCATCACTATGACAATAATCACAGCCTCGCTCACCTGTCGGGGATCTTTTCCGCTTCTGACGACGAGAACTTGCTGTGGTTGATTTCCGAGTAGATACACGCCGACTTCGTTGTACTTCCTGGACATCATCATCCTCGGGCTATAGTTCTTCTCAGATGGTTGCTTCGAAGTATACATATATTTTATTTACCTCTTCAGGGACATACAAGAACATGCGGAGCGTGATCCTTGGGGTTTTCGCTGATGCATCTTTATCAGACAACATCCTGTCTTGCCTCAGTTTTCCATAAAGTGTTTCCATGGTTGCCGGTGCCACCAGATACTTCTGTTCCTCGATCATATTCACAGTAGCATTGGTCAGCACCGTGCAATACTTGATCCTATGCCTGCATGACAGGGTTTATCAATATCCATCCACTGAACACTCTATAGCAACATTACCAATCAAACATAACATCCAGCGCAGTATCGGAAAGCCCTGAAAGAGTCGGGGTGTTATCGTATAGGCCTCTTGCTTTCAAAGCCAGCTGTTCGAAGGCACTAGTGGCTAGGTCCACAGTAGCGAAGGTCACTCGTGACGATGGGATGGCGAGTTTAGCAGGCTTCGAGCTCCCGTAGGCATATTGCTGAAGTGTAAAGTCAACATCAACCTTTGCTGCCCGAGCATTGGCCTTAAGAAGCGAAACCTTCCGCTTCACGTCACTCGCATTCAACAGCAAAGAGTTTTGTAATGGTTGGCTTAGTCCGAGTCGATGCTGACTGGCCTCACGGGTATGCACAGTCTGTCGATGCAAAATAGATTGAGCAGTGGCACTGGCAGCGACATTACTGGCTGATGCAGATGATTCATTCAAAGCTAAGTTTGACATTAGCTTGCGGAGGTAACTCGATAAGTACAAACATTTGCTTACCATTATTGTTGCTGTTTTTGCAGCCACCACATAATGGCGAGCGCAAGAACGGATATACACAGCCGCAGCTTTCACATTGCGGCTGTTGCTAAATAGTAGGTATTGGTGAATATAAACTTAAAACAACAGGCACATAGTGAGGTGAGCACGTACCATAATCTGTTCTCGATCTGCTGCATTTGCAGCTTCGAGCTTTGAGCACTTCGCGCACATTGAGTCGTCCATTCGAGGAAACACGAGCGAACATCCTGAGCACTGACTCGGAGGCATGGGCCACGATGAGACAAGTATTATGGTCTGAAAACAAAGTCTGACGGATCAACTTGAAGGTTACTGTACCACATTAGATCGTGTGATATATGTGAAGAAACTTGCCTCAAAACGCCGTCACTTTCAGCAATTCAATATAGTGGTGATGGTTCCGGCACAGACCTCAATACAAACTCATAGCCACGATTTCTTTAGAGCAAGCCTATCACAATCAGTTGAAGCACAATAAGATGCACACAGGGTCTGATTGGCGCAGAAAACAGTTTATAATATGAAACGTCCTCCAAAAACCACAAATTCTATACCACCTCGATAGTATCATGTTAACAAACCAATGCTCAACACTCGTTCACTATATAACTTTGTTAGGATGTTGTTGGTACACTTGACGCCGTGAAGACAGTAGCCTCAAATAGGTGGGTGTGCAGAACATAGAAGTGTAACGGAAACAACGGAGGATTGAGTACAAGGTGAAGAGTGTGAATGCGGTGATGAGTACACTGATGGCGATGACAAGCGCTGATGAGTGTTGACGATGTTGGCAAAAGACTATCTACTTACTTTAAGATGGATGTGCTCGATGATCCCTTGGGGTATGTGGAGCGGAAAGTGCACGGCGACAGAAGGTAATGACGAGAGTAGCAGTAAATGTGCTGATGCCACAACGACGGGCAGGCTAATGGTGACAACAAGCGCTGATGAGTGTTGATGATGAAAGCAAAAGATTTTACTTACTTTAAGATAGACGAGCTTGATGATTGTGGAGTGAGAAGTAGTCCACGGCGGCAAAAGGTAATGCCGAGTGCGGCGCCACGACGACGAGCACGCTGATGGCGACGACGAGCTTCGATGGTGGTGGGTGTTGTGGGGAAATGAAACCACAGCCACCGTATTTACTAATACACAAACAATGGAATACAACAAATAATTATCGCATTTGGAAAACTAACCTGATACACATAGTCCACCGTAAACGAGGGACCTCGGAAGAAAAAATCAACAGTGCCGCTGAAGCGAGTCTACACGCACGCCATGTAAGGGATGAACGTCTGAGGGAATATATTTATATTTATATGAGATGGATATCGTGTTTAGGAGCCAACAGAGGTGCACGATGGTGCGGAAGTTGGGCATGAATTGAGAGGATGAGAAAAAGAACATGGTCACTAGGCGAGATGCGCACCACCGCCATGAACTTGGCATCAAAGAATGACGGAAGAACGTGCCAAAGGTGGCATGATTTCTGCAGAATGTGCTCAGCATGATTATGATGATCGTATATAAAACGGAGGTAGCTGCCTCGCCAACGAATCGAGTTGTCGTGCAACATCGAGACATATCTCCAAAGCGGTTGACAGCATTGATGGATTCATGTGCTGATTGTTGGCTTGATGTTTATAGCAAAGTTGAAGATGCGCGACTCCGAGTCGCTGCGACGCTTTCCCTACCGAAGTCAACTGTCAGTTCATCCCTGTTGCGGATTCAGATAGGAGATTGGATATTACTAGCCTGAGGCTGGCTGCAATTCGAAATAGCCTGACCATGATGATGAGCATATCGGCGAGTCTGCCACGGCTGTTTATATGTCCCTTCTTCACCAACACCATGCGAAGTTCTTTTTCCCCTTCCTTCAGCTCATGAAACCTTCCGTGCACCAAAGAACTTGAAATCAAGATTGTTAAAACATTTTATGGCCACTCAAAAGAGATCAGCCGCAATGATATCTCTGTGGACGGTAAGTTACTAGCGAGCGGGGCAGGAGATACAGCGGGGATATGGAACCTGGGCACTCAGGCAGGCAAGCTTGTGGCTGGACCATTCGAGACCGTTGATTGTGTGGGCACAGCTCGATTCTCATCAGACTCATGGAGTGCCTGCAGTGTTCTGGACGAACAAAAATAAAAACGTTACGCGGATGACGGTGCCAAGACGATCTAGATCTATCGATTTGATGCGGGACTAGTATCAGATAGGTCGCCTCTCCGGCGTCATCACCAGTCTGGCAGTTCAAACGTTCAGGAGTCTACACCATCAAGCTAACTGCTCTGGGCTGTCAAATCTCGCCAGCTTTTCGCTTCCTTTGACGTGCTGAGTCCCTCCTTTCACCTGACGCACGCCAACTAGTTTACACGAAAGTTGTTCCACGATCGTTGTATGCAACACTCCTCCTGACATCCTTACCAGTTTACGCATTTCCTTACAGGTGATCTACTCAATGTACGCGCCTCGTTGTTTTACTCATTACACAACTTATCCATCACCGTCATTGCGGTTCCCCTTGTCCAACCTCGTAATCCACAACATGTGGGTGTTTCAACTATTCCGGTTCTTTTTCTGTTGACTCGATGATGAAACCACAGGTCCCTGTCTCTACACCTTCTCTCTCGGGACAGCCTGCATCTCGGTTCGATCATGTCAGTCTTCGATTTTAGTAAGTTCGCAATGCATGACTGAATGCGTATACAGTTCGAATCGAGTTCTTCGCCTCGCACCTCGAACACTCCAGTCACGCAGTCCCTACGACAGCACATTTCGTTGCTCGTGCGGGGCATAGCTATGTACCGCCAGTCGTTGAAGTCGAAAGGTCACTGACGTACATTTCCTTACCTCAGTGTTTTTCGCTGATGGGTGCCCTACAGCTACAGCGGCTAGCTGCTGCTAAATTATGAGAATAGAAGAAAGTCGACGACACCCGACGTCCGTCTGGACATGCGGAAGTGCCCCAGGATGCCGAGTCGTCTGACATAGATTCACTCTCAGACGGGCATTGAGTTGAGGCGTGCCTGCGCTACTATTTATGCCGGTCTCATGGCAGACTGAGGATGCCTCCCCGGTGGCGCTTGGAGTGTGTTGATATACCCGGTCAGGATAGCATGATACACACTAGTAGCAATAGTGGTGCTCATGGTTGCAGTTGGCGTTGCGTGGACCGATCCACTGCTACATCCTCCACGATTGATGATTTCTGACGTATGTAAGGACGATCCTGCATCGGAAGCAATTTGTCTGACCCCTATGTACGCGCTCCACTTGAGCTTCTACATACTACATACTTCGGTCATTCCCATACGGAGAATCCTGCTCAAACGTCCTGCGATTGCGCTCGCACGATCTCACTCTGATTTCGCCGGGTCGGGCTTCAGTTCCGAGCTCAATGTTCACATATTACGCGATTTGTATATCCGAGACTCTTCTGTCGATAAATGCACTAAAGCCGATCAAGCAAATTGACCCTGTGTTTACGTAGAGTTACGTTTGAATAAGCGAGAGACACGGCATAACGAAAACACTAAGAACTTGCTCTTAATTTTCTTTGGTTCGTTTTACTGACAAATGGCCGTTCGGGGTTCCGAGTCGCAGCAGGGTCCCGCAGGTATGTACAAACTGAGGCATATTACTCGGGATCCCTGAGAGTAAATTTCGGCAAGCTCGTCTTGCGGTATAAAATGCAGGCCATGGAAGACCTTAGCTTTTTGCTCTAGGCTTGTATCTCCGCGCACGCTCCCCCTACTTCCTTCAATCGTCCCTCCCCCCACTGCCACCATGTTGCCCAAATCTTTCGCACTTTTTGCTGCCTTCGCTGCTTTCGCCTCTGTATTTGCTTCCCCCATTCCTGGCAGTGTGGCTGACGTTACTGCCGGTAAGTCCCATCTCCATGATGCGTTTCGCCTCTTAATTGTGTTCTCGCTGTAGTTGTTGAGGACGTTGCCAACGATCTCACGGTCAATGTGGGAACTCGTGCTGAAGCAGTTGAAAATGATTCCCCCTGTAAGCATGAAATATATTCATGACCTGATGGCAATGTTGATCAGAATGACATTTCAGCCTTCGACGAGGTCGTCAAATTGTTTGAACTCTCGCGGCGAGATGACGGATGCAGTGTCATTGACATCGACGGTAGTAAGTCGCTCGTCTTAAGTCGGGGTTTATAACCTGATCGGAACCGAGTAGTCATCTACAACGTGCTTAACAACGGTACAATCACTGTCTTGAAGCGCGATGACTGCAATGTTGCCAGAGCTACTGCTCGTAAGTATTTCTTCTCGGTTATTAGTTCACATATTGAACAATTTCTCAGAGGTCAGGGATGTTGTGAACAAGGCCAGAGCCAACGCTCTCAGCGCCAGGTCCAAACGCAGTGAGGAGAAACGTTACTCGTATGAAGAAATCGAAGCAAGTGCGTCGTTATCGTCATCAATTCGTATTTCCCAATCTGATTATTATATTGTAGTTGTCGTCAGCGAAGCGAACAATTTGAAGAAGACCAACGCGGCAACTCGGTCAAAGGCTGACAAACGTGATGCCGGTGTCTACGCAATTGTGGAAAGGGTTCTCGACAACTTCCATGCCGATGACCTCACGCTATCCAAGCGTGGCACTTACACTGTCTCCCAAATTGCCACCGGTACGATATGTGCCATTTCTTTCACCGCCAGATTCTGACTTGACATTGTAGCGGTCAAAAATGCCCTCGATGGCGTGACCGGTTCATCGAAACGCTCAGACAACGTCGACGCTCTTGCCGAACAGGTTCTTGATGAGTTATATGCTCAAGCTGCCAAGCGCACTGATGACATCAATGCTTGTGAGTACCGTCATGACCGCAAAGCGAATGCCTCCTAAATCATCAATCAAATTCAGTTACTGAAAACAGTCTCTAGAACGCGTCGCCTATGTGATTCAATCATCTCACGGCGGCATTCCATACCCGACAGCCAAGCACATACTTCGCTCTTTGTTTATCACTGTCACTCGAATACCTTAATGCAAAGATCTTCCCTCTTGTCTTTGTACCCAGACGAAGTTTAATGTCCAAGGCCAGACAAGCGGGTGTTGTCTTCAACATGGCGTCAATGTCCTCTCTATCCATGATCCGGCGCGTCCTATTCAACGGCTCTATTTCACTCCTACGCGTTTAAATGGTATTTCTCTGTTTGATATCACTCCTACCTCGCCAAGATGGCACAATAAATGACAGCCTCGATAGTACTCTTGGTTGCAGTTGACTCTATGGACCAATCCACTACTATGTCCTCCATGCTGATGATTTTACGCTTAAATATATACATATCAATTCTACGCCGTACGTGGGAGTCGCACGAATTTCTTCCGCAGGATTAACAGTTCCGTCCTTGGATATTTCAGATACATCGATTTTACACCGTGTATCTTCCAGTGCAATACAGAGCACAATTGCTAAATTCCATCACAAGATGAATACATGATTCAGATGATCCTCGAGTATCTCACGTCGAATATTGATCGTTTTGAACTGGTCAAAATTGAGACACTCGTTTCGCTCAATGTGGATGTATGTTCATTAATACTGCTCAATAAAACGGTCGCATATATAACAAGGTCGTTGTATTTGAAATAGTGACATTCTCGCCAAACATCACGTCACCACACCATCATGTGCGATAAGCCCATCATCGGTATTGCTCACTGAGCTACAGAGCTTTTATGTGCAAACGTAGCCTCGAGCACTGTCAAATCCAGAACGCCGAAACAATCCAACGTGCAACTATAACTGACTTGGAATGAATAGTAAATACCTATTCGATGATCGTTAATCAGAGTTTGAAACGATTGATTGTCGATTATCTTCAATGCTAATGACAATCACGCATATCCATGATGCTGACAACCAGAGGAGATTATCAGGAAAGCCCGTGACCATAGGATCTTCACTACGAACGTTCCAGGGAATAGAAGCCCAACATGTCACCGGGTGGAATGCTACGTCTTTGGGTGACGATTCAATTAAAATTCGAGGGTATGGCCAATTAGGTCAGTCAGGTGAACTATCTGCCGCGTAGACCCCTGAAACAACCACGATCAGGCTCATTAACTAATGTGGAAAGTTGCGGCGACACAACTTGGACGAATGAGCTCATCCGTTTAGATCATCAAGCAAGGTACTTATGGTGAAAGCCTCGTGTCTTGGGCGTCTAGTGAGAGGGTAAAAACTAAAAAGTAGGTTTAAATGCTCCATCGTACGCACCTCTGCAACTTCGAGTAAGACGCCATCCCTACACGCACCAAGACCACCTCAAGTGCGCTGCAGCTCCACTAAAATGACGGCCCTCATTCCAAGCACCACACCCATTCGAACATTCGAAGATCACGGGGATCGCGTGGTCGCAGTCGCGGCTTTCTGCACATATGATAGACTTGAACGTATGGTCACGGGATCGTATGACGGGATGCTTCGTCTCTGGGACTTGAAGACAGGTGTAGTGTTGAAGAAGATGGAGGGGCATCGCAGTCGGGTGCGGGCATTGGCTGTTTCACCAGATGGGTATCGGATAGCAAGCGGTGATGAGAGCGGAAAGCTCATCGTCTGGCGTGGACCAACTTGGGAACCAGACTACCGGCAACCACTAAGCAATGAAGCCCACGACGGCTGGATATTTTCGCTTGACTTTTCACAGGGTTCCCAGGCGCTGGCCAGTGGATCATCCGACACCACCGTGAAGCTACGGAGCATAGAGTCATCATGGCAGGTGCAACATTCACTCAATTGCGGTGGAAATGTCCGCTGCGTTCGGTATTCGCCGCATGGCTATCATGAAACACTTCTTGCGATTGCAACGGACCACGATGTTCAAATTTACCAGAATTACTGTAACACGTACAATTACAATCGCAATTACAATCCCAAATCTCCATTCCCCAACCAGTTGAGGACAAGGATTAGTGGACGATTCTACTACTCACTTGTGTGGACGCCCGGTGGCTCACGGCTTCTCTCGGGGGGTCACGGGATTGATCCCACCATACGAGAGTGGGATACATCGACCTGGCAACAGGTCGGTGATTCCTGGGGGGGCCATTCCAAGAATATCCACGCCATTTGTCTCAACTCTAGCGGCACTCTCCTTGCCTCCGCATCTCATGACAACCGTGTCCGCCTCTGGCGACTCTCAGATCGACGAAATATTGCCACATTCAAGCACTCTGAGGAGGTGAACTGTGTCACGTTCTCTGCAGATGACAAGCGCATCCTCAGTGGAGGTGTGGATAAAAAGATCTCGGAGTGGCCAACACCCGAGGACGCAGCTTTACCAGAGGATGGTCCAAGGGATGGCCTCATGAAAGAGCAGGTGACACACCAGGTAATTTTGTTTTCAGTTTCCCGCCTGTTCATCATCTAAGCGTCTTTTTTATCCCAAGACTCAAGCCTACTCTGATTTCAAGGCACGTTCTCACCTTTGATTCTTATAACACAATGCGAACATGATTTACACAGGTCCTCGCTATGAACTCGACTGTCCGCAATGCGTGCATAGTCGGGGACTGGCCTACCGCTGAAAAGGTGCTAAATCTAGATATCGAGGCTCACCCCAACGATCACACCGCCTATGCAGATCGCGCATTTGTTATGGCACGAAAATGTGACTGGGATCAAGCGCTTCAAGATGCATTTCAGGTGAGACTGATCGACCTCCTTGCAAAAGTTAACTTTGATGATGGGATAGTCCGTTACCATTCAGCCATCGTTGGCAGGCCATATCTCCAAGGGCATTGCCTTTGCGGAAAAAAGCAGGTTCTGGCCGCGAGGATATCATTTGATGTCGCATCCATGTTCACGAATGGAGATTTGAAGACCGATCACTTCCTTTTCTTGATCAAGGCACGTAATATTTTTCTAACATACTCTGCGTTTCATTGCGGTTTTAGGCTATTGCGTTATTCAACGCAGATGAACATCAAGAGGCAATACTCCGCATCGGAGAGCTAGCTACGTGTCCCAATGTCGATCCTGTTGCTTGTCGTATCGTGGAAGTGAGTACCATATGCTCGATCACACTAGGTTCATGTGCTGTCATTGATTTCTCTTAACCTTCGTACACCAGGCCTGCCTACGCATCCAACTGGGAACTATTGCTTTGAATGGCGCGCGCCATAATGAAGCTGTTGAACACTTCACTGCCGCCGTCAATGCTAGCATTTTCTTTTACAAATTGCCTATTCATTTGATGTACGACGAATTTGTCGCGGTACGCTGATATCATACAACCGAAAATTCTTTTATGTTCAACCGCATGTTTTCCGCAGCTCTTTGGCTGGGACCTCAAGTCCTTGTGGTATACTGCGAACCAGCAACAGTGTTATGCACTATTTCGAGCAGGTAGTTTTGGAGCAGCCATCAGATCGTATCAGTCTATCATGGATAAGACTGATGATGATATGAAGGCCGGTTTACGTACTGGGCTCACTGGTAAGTATTTCAGTAGTGTCTCTCTGTCTATAGTCATCAACTGAACTTCATTCAGCTCTCAAGTAAGATCGAAATGCGCTCTACACTTTTTATGGAGATAGTTCGTTCGCAGCAAACGGTTACTTATATGGTTTGAAACACAGAGATCCTCGAATAATTTTCATTTGCACCTTGACGGTAGTTGTATCGCTCGAATAGCCCTTGGTGCTCGTGTCATGATACACTGGCCTACTTGATATGTGTAGGTGTACGTAAGCCACCAGGCTTACAGGGTCATCGCCATACTAATCGCCATCCTCAACCACCGGAAATCCGAGAAACAACAAGTCTTCGAGTTGCCGCTGCAAAACCTCGAATCCAAAATAGTCCAAGGTTCAGCTACTAATAGCTGACTTTGGATGAATAGCAAATGCCTATTCGATGATCGAGTTTGAGACGATTGATTTTGTCGACTGTCTTCGATGCTAATGGCAAATCACATACACATAATGCTGACAACCAGAGGAGATTAATGGAGGCCTCGCAACCGTAGGATTTCCGCTATGAACGTTCCAGGGAGCAGGTTTAACGTGTTGCCGGGTGGAATAGTACATCTTTGGATGTCGGCTTGGTGAAAATTCGAGGGCATGGCCAATTAGGTGGATCAGGTGAACTGTTTATGTCGTCTCCCTATCTGCCGCGTGGACCCCTGAAACAACCACGACCAGGCTCGTTGACTGATGTGGAAGGTTGCGGTGACACGACTTGGACGAATGAGCTCATTCATTTAGATCATCAAGCAAGGTACTTATGATGAAAAGCCTCGTGTCTTGGGCGTCTAGTGAGAGGGTAAACTAAAAAGCAAGTTTAAAATGCCCCATCGCACGCACCTCTGTAACTTCGAGTAAGACGCCATCCCCACGCACACCAGATCCACCTCAGCTGCGCTGCAGCTCCACTAAAATGACGGCCCTCATTCCAAACATCACACCCATTCGAACATTCGAAGATCACGGGGATCGCGTGGTCGCAGTCGCAGCCCTCCACGACGAACGCATGGTCACGGGATCGTATGACGGGATGCTTCGTCTCTGGGACTTGAAAACAGGTGTAGTGTTGAAGAAGATGGAGGGGCATCGCAGTCGTGTGCGGGCATTGGCTGTTTCACCGGATGGGAAATGGATAACAAGTGGTGATGAGAGCGGAGAGCTCATCACCTGGCATGGAAAAACCGGGGAACCGTTCAATGAAGCAATCAAGGCTCACGACGGCTGGATATTTCGCTTGACTTTTCTCCTGATTCCATGGCGCTGGCCAGTGGATCATCTGACACCACCACGAAGCCATGGCGGACATCAACGTGGCAGGTGCAATGTACACTCAGTTGCGGTGGAAATGTCCGCTGCGTTCGGTATTCGCCGCGGCTATCATGAAACACTTCTTGCGATTGCAACAGACCACGATGTCCAAATTTACCAGAATTACCGTAGCATGCACAGTTACAGCTACAATCACAATCCCACATCTCCATTCCCCGGTCAGTTGAGGACAAGGACTAGTGGAGGATTCAACTACTCGATCGCGTGGACGCCCGATGGCTCACGGCTTCTCTCGGGGGGCAGTGGGCCTGATCCCACCATACGAGAGTGGGATACATCGACCTGGCAGGTCGGTGATCCCTGGGGGGCCATTCCAAGAATATCAACGCCATTTCTGTGAACTCTAGCGGCACTCTCCTTGCCTCCGCATCTCATGACAATCGTGTCCGTCTCTGGCGACTCTCAGATCAACGAAACATTGCCATATTCAAGCACTCCGAAGAGGTGAACTGCGTCACGTTCTCTGCGGATGACAAGCGCATCCTCAGTGGAGGTGTGGATAAAAAGATCTCAGAGTGGCCAACACCCGAGGACGCGGCTTTACCAGAGGATGGTACAAGGGATGGCCTCATGAAAGAGCAGGCGACGCACCAG